CTGAGTGGGATTCGAACCCACGATCCCGGTTTCCAAGCGAGCGAAGACAGTACATGCCTTAGACCGCTCGGCTACCGTGACCGGCTTCTTATCCCTTACAATTCATTATTCAGTAGACATTGTCATTGTACCATTCAGTGCTGTAGGTCCTTGTAGTCTGAGCTACGTACAGGGTTGTTAAATAAACCATAAATATTAATATATAATAATAGCAGTAATGACAGAGATATGAACCTGAGACCTCACGAATATAAATCAGTACTGCCTGCCACAACTCCGCTATGTTCGGTCTACACACGTGTATCGCTCTGCACCTCCCACAGTTCACTCTTTTATCATCGATTGCACAGTCGCCCAGAGTGGGTTGAGGAACTCGGCGTTCCTCGACGCCGGCTAGGTCATCGCCCTAGCGACCTCTGCCTGTCGTGTTTTGTACGACTGCTCCTGTGTGTATTCACCGCGGGCTGAGTAAGTGTAACGAATAGCTAAACATGTTACACCGGTAATTCGTACAGTATGTGCCAGCCTGTCTTTGATGATGTGGTGCACGGTCTCCAATTAGGAGCGGAACATGGCAGCACAACATTTTCATGCGCCAGACCCTATAGGGCTACTTTATTTCACGGAAACGTAACCAGTGAATGCATACTATTAACAAGTTATGAACGACAAACTTTGTAACTATCGAACTTCTTTGTTGTTTTAGAAGCTGTGAAGTGGACTGAGCTGGCTTGATTTGCGTTCCGAGCCTTTGATGACGGTGATAAACCTTCCTGTTCCATAGCAGCAGGGCTTTTCTTTACTACCTGAATAACTTATAAAGTGCTTAACGAATATCTTGCATCATGGCGTCAGTCATTATGAACCGCCTTGTGGCTTTCTGGTTACTGAGCCACTTGCCGCGAGGAAGGGAGCACTGTCCTGCTCTCCAAGAGACTGTCATCATACAGATTTTAGAAATTCCGTAATTTGTAGTTACTCTTCGCCAAATAATAATACAGAAGGTAATAAGCGGGGCATGTACGTAATTTGAAATTGAAAATCCTGAAGGAAAGGGTCCTCTTGAGAGACCTAGGCATAGATGGGGAAATAATACTAAAATGGATGTATATAAGTTAGATTTGAGAAGGTGTCTGAAATTATTTGACTCCGGGAAAGGGACCAGTGGCACACTTTTCCGAACACGATCATGGATTTTCGGGTTTCGCGAAATGAGCGCAATTACTTGAGTAGAAGGACTCCACCCTTTGCAATTGGTCACTGCGCGGCAGTGTTGCAAGATTTCCATATCGTCTCTCTAATCTTTCTTTTCGCTTGTAAGAAAAATAGGTAAAGGTAAATTTGCCCCTGTGCTAAACTGATTAAGCACTACACGATGAAGACGTATGGGGGAGTGGATGTATAGATCCACAGGGGAATACAGAAACCATTCTCTCTATATATCTATCTATCTAGTATTTAAAATGGACGAATCATACTGAACGACAATATTTAAACACCAACATGTAACCCAAAATACATAAGCCTCAATATATACACGTATATATAAGTACAATTATATTTTAATGTAAGTTGTTGTTAATAAAATCATTTACCGGGGGGGGAATCTCTTTGTCTATGTGTCTGTCTTTCCGTCCGTCAGTCTGTCTATCTACCTACCTATCTGCATACACAGGACATCACAGACACAGATTAAACGCACACACAGGCATCCATGCCTCAAGTGGGATTCGAACCCATGATCCCAATGTTTAAGCGGGCGAAGACAGTTCATGCCTTAGACCATGCGTCCACTGTAATCGGCACAGAAACCTTTATATGTGATAATATCGGGGCTTCGGAAAATGTGGTATAATTAATAATAATGGCAATAATTATTTGGATATATTTGAGTAGCTGAGCGACTGGGGACTTCTCAAGAAGGACTCAGCTCCATGGAGTTTCTTAGTTATAACAACAACAACATTCAATTTATCTTTGTCTTAGCTTCGTGTACTGGGCTTTGATTTCTCTGGTTTCTCTTCGGAACAACAGTTCACGTTGCAGGAAATGGTTCTACGCGTTGCATGTGTTGAGGAAACCAGCAAAACTCACGTGAATGCTGACTTTGTAACAATGATTATTTGGGAATTAACGTTCCTTCGTTCAAGTACGAGTAGTTATGTGGCTCAATGATAATACACTGTAATTGTACACCCCTTGTTTTGCGTTTGCATTTGCCTTGAAGAACGTCGTTGAACCACTTCTGCAACGATTCGATGTAGTTGTGACGATAACCTTGGGGAGGGCATAGGCCGTTCTGCCTCTGTCTCACGTACGTCTGTGTTCCGAAACTGTTCTTCGTACTGTCGGAACCCAAAATTGAAAACGCCATTTATCAAAGGACGCATTTTGTACGGTGCACAAAGGAAAACAAGAATAGACAGGTGTGCTCAATACCTCCATTGACCTTGCTGTTCGCTTATTGCTGTTTGAAACTTGTGGCAAAACGTTTAAAATTTTCTTGTGAATATTATTATTAAAGGCTCAATGCCATTTTTTTTATCCTGTATAGTATACATCACTGAAACAGGTTGAAATCCCTTATTGTAATGAACTTCTTTATTTGCTTTTTTTGGGTCGCTACATCACGTCTTAACTCATACTGCGTGATGTTTATGTTGAATGGAAATCGTATTATGTACTGAATAACATTAACATTCTTCGTCATTTTTATAAGGCTCCCTTAAATTTCCAAAATCAGTTCTATTTAAATAAGTAAGTATAGACATATGGCCTATTTTCTGTGATAAAAGGAAAAACGAACAAACGAACATCAGAAGTTCTGTTATGTTGCATATTAAAATGTATTGCAAAGCTATTTATGCTACATAAATTTGAAGGCTTATGTCTACTCACAAAAAAAAAACAAAAAACAAATTCTGTGGCCTGTAGTCCGCAAGCGAACTATACCGACCAAGCGACCGCCGCATGTCGGCGAAGTTCGTGCCAACATTAGCAGATCCCACAACCGATAATATCGGGTTTCTAGACCAGAGCCGCTACTTTTCCATTCAAATAGCTTCTCAATTATCCTCACGAGGCTGAGTGGACCCAGTTGCAGACCCACTACTTCTCATAAAATTTGGTAGCGCCGGGTATCGAATCCGGGACCTCTGTATTTGTAGGCGGGAACTCTGACCACTAGACCACAGAGGTGGGTCTTATGTTTACTCATTACGGACTAAATGAAATCCGCTTTGCTACTTCTTGCATAGACTACCAACGCCAGATTTCAGCAAAATACATACAGAATTCTTGGAAAGGAAGGTTTTTTCCCCCATTGTGTTTTATTCTCAAAGAGAAAATTTTGTCGTCGTTTGATCGTAGTTCCGTTTTCGCCTTGATAATGGTAATATGAAGTTAATCATTACAGAACCGACTCTAGGAGTAAGACGGCTGGCTCTTGCTCTCCTGTGGCACTTGAGCTAAGACCCACCTGTTTGGAATCACAAGGCTGAGAAAGATTAAAATGAGCTGTGAATGGTTGGTCGCACATAACCACATGACGAAACGAAAGAAATTAACGTTAGCGGTAAATCCGTTGATCTTTATTCCTATTTTTATTTAAAATTAATTTTCTGGGTCGTAAATTTGTGTGTACTGAAGATATAAGGGTTCGGAAGAAAGAACTGTTGGGTGTGCTTGTCCATCTCTTAGTACGTAGAATTACGGACCTCAGTGTTGTAGACAATAATTGGCCAGTCTTCGGAGCGAATAACTTGCTGTTGGAGGCCAGTTTTCCTGTTACTTTATAACTCCTCTTCGGTAATACCAACATGACGGCAGTTCGAATTTTTATAGATTTGCAATGTTGTAGCGATATTCAGTCCAGTGTCTGGTTAAGTGACCGTACTTATAAAAGTGAACAGCTTTTATTAAGGTTTCGCTTCAAGTATAAATAAGAATACATCACTTATGTAACTCATTCCAGTTAAATGACCATAACAGATTAATTGCTGGAATATAACCTTCAAATTAAGTGGAGTGTTATGGCATGACATTAGCACCTTCAAAATTCAAACCTTTAGAATCTTAAAATGGAGAGCTTGAAGCAGAAGTGATTTTAATAATAATGCTACATTTATGCAGGATTTGAGGTTCTCACATAGGTGATTATGGATATTTTTATCTTCTAGGATATAAAGGTGTATAGGCCATTTAAAATCAACCGACGTTTCGGTGGAACAGGTTATCTTCATCTTCAGGGTCGAAGAATAAACCGAGTGATTTTTATCTTCTAGGATATAAAGGTGTATAGGCCATTTAAAATCAACCGACGTTTCGGTGGAACAGGTTATCTTCATCTTCAGGGTCGAAGAATAAACCAAGTGAGAAACCAGCATGAAGCTAACAACCAGAATTCTACTTACTGCTTGCTTCATGCTGGTTTCTTGTTTGGCTTCTTCTTCGATTCTGAAGATGAAGGCAGTTTGTTCTTCCGAAACGTGGGTTGATTTTCAGCGGACTGCACGTCTTTATATTCCAGCAGCTAGAACTCTTCATGCTATTTTCAGTCTGGATTTAGTGTTTCCAGTTTCTCGTCGCTTCAGACATGCAATTGAAAGTTATGGTTCATTCCATTCGTCGGACTGTTCGTTTGCAGGTTATGATCTGTGCGAATAATGTAAGTAGACCTGCGCTGATCACAGCGGCCGCACGGTCTCAGGCATGAATAGTCTTCGCCCGCTCAAACACTGAGATCGTGGTTTCGAATCCTACTTGAGTCATGGATGTCTATGTGCGTTTATTATATATTTGTGCTGTCCTGTGTGCAGGTAGCGGCCTTGCGACGGGCTGATCCCCCGTCCAAGGAGTCCTGCCATATGTGTAAAAGATCAAGAAATGAAAAAGCGGCCAAGTTCCAACATAGGACTGTAGAGCCATAGATAGATGGATAAGTACAAATAGATCCACGCTCAGCAGTAAACGAGGTGCTAATGAGCTGAAATTTGCTTCAGGTGCTAGTGGAATATGACGGTGTTGAGTGGCATAGACGAGAGTGGATCAGCATTTACAAGGACAGCCTCTTTCACCTGTTTCTGGTGGAACACAGTCTGGTGTGGACTGATCGTCTGGACCCGTTGTCCCCTAACAGTGGCGCCACCGTCCTCTGGCCCGCTTTGGTAAGTACCATGCCCAAATATTATACTGACACATTCAACTCCAGAAAACATACGTTTATATACGTTAATTATATTAATGCCATCCGTGTACGTGAATACTGGAGATGTATGTATGCATAAAGACCGCCTCTGTGGTCTAGTGGTCAGAGTTCCTGGCTACAGATCCAGAGGTCCCGGGTTCGATTTCCGATATCAGATTTTCCAAGAAATAGTGGGTCTGGAACGGGGTCCACTGAGCCTCGTGAGGATAATTGAGGAGCTATTTCGAGGAAATAGCGGTTCTAACGGCCGTGGGGATTCGTTTCGCTGACCACGCGACATCCTCTATCCGCAAAAGTTGGCACTATTCAGTTATTCAGTATAGAGGGGGTGGGTTTCCCCATGCACCGCGACTAATAGTCTATTGTACGTCCCCCTTTAATTTCTACTGTCGCCATACCCTACCGATACTGGTGCCCGCTATCTCCCCTTTCTGCCAGCGAGGTCGGCCCTCTACTGGCAGTGGTACCCGATAATTCTCCCCTTTCTGCCAGCGAGGTCGGCCCTCTACTGGCATTGGTACCCGTTAACTTCCCCATCTACCGGAGGCATTGGAAACTACTTGGGCGGGAAACATTTTGCCTAATTTTGCTCAGAGGTCTCCTAGAGACATGAGGATCTTTTACGTGCCGTAAATCTACGACACGGGACCCACAGCTTAAAGTCCCTCCCGGAGGACTTGTTCTCTGAATTTTTCCGCCCTTAAAATTTCCACGACCTCTGCCGGGTTTGAACCCGCGTACCTTGAGTCACGAGGTGGGAACGTTACCCTTAGACTACGGAGGCCGCAAAGATGGCACTAACTTCACCGACAAGCGGCGGTCGCTCGGTCGGTATAGTTCGCTTGCGGACTGCAGGCCACGGAGTTTTTTAGTTTTAGTTTATATATGCATAAATCTTATCTTTATCAATTTAATTCAGTTTGTTGAGTAGACTTTTGAAGTTATTGTGAGTATGGCACTGAATACACTTGCTGATCACATGAGAAGGCACCGCACTAGCTCAGACAGTATAGGGACTAGGCTACAGACTGAACGACGGGGGGAATCGGGTTCCTGCTTCCCGATCGGCTCTGTCGTCCACCCAGCTTTCTATTAAGTGAATACCTGGGACTCGTTCCCCGTGAGTAAAGCAGCCGACGCGTGAAAATGACCACACCATCTCGTGTCAAAGTTAAGAATGCATGGAGTTATACTTCACTTCCCCACACGTCTTCATAGCGTGGTTCTTTATTAAGCGCAGTGACAAGTTTACAATTACCATTACTCTTTTCATGGGACGGTATCTGTGAAAACCGTGATAATGTTTGGTAGTACCAAATAAACGATAGGCCGCGCCATAGCTCAAAGCGGTTAGTCGCTGGCTTCCAACCGCGGCGGCCCGGGTTCGAGCCCGTGTCTGGTCAAGTGGGATTTGTGGTGGAAAAAGTGGCGCTGGGGCGGATTTTCTCCGAGTACTTCGGTTTCCCCTGTCAATCTTCATTCCACCAAGTTCTCCATCGTCATATCACCCGGGGCAGGCTACCATAGGCCAATCAGTGGCCGCCGTGCCGAGTGAACTCAGTTGGACTCTACTCCCCACTAAGCGAAATAAACGATAGCATACCTGTAAGATGGTTCGGTTTGAAATGTTATTTCAGTGCTCACAGGCCCTCCTGATCGGGTTTTCTCTCATTCTTCATTTGTCAAAGCACAAACAGATTTTAAGATGGTTCAGTGTTCGAGCCTTGGAACCCTATGAATAAAATTTTATGTATGTCATGGGTATCATAAAGTGCACGCATGCGCACCCACCGCTTCTTTCTTTATTCCTCCATTCGTTTCTATATTTATTTCTTTAATTCATTTTCCATTTCTTCCTATACTGAATCGGAAGCCGGGATAGCGTAGTCGGTATAGCGACTGGCTACGGGCTGGACGACTGAGGGGTCGGTGTTCAAGTCCTAGTATGGTCAAGAATTTTCTCTTCTCCACGTCGTCCAGACCGGCTTTGGGGTCCACATTACCTCCTGTCCAATGGTTACAGGGATATTTTCCAGTTGTATAGCGGCCGGGGCATGAAGCTGACCACTCACCTCCAGCTAGTGCCAAGGTCAAAGAAAATATGGATCTATACGTCCACTTCGTCATACGCCTTCATGGCATAATGTTTAATTAGTTAAGCACAGGGCAGCTTTACCTTTACCTTACCTACATTGAATCTGATTGAACCTGTGCGCCCTCCATTGAGAGTTCGGTTCACACAACCATTTAGCACCGGGTGAAGCGCCCGTATCTTTGTACCATCCCTGAATTAGAGTTGAATATCAGATAAAAAAGAAATTAAACCAGTAAATGCCGTACCATAGTGTTCGTCCGTTTGTCTCGAACAAATCACCTGTATATTCGGTCGCTTTGAGCTCCAACCCGCTTTTCGGGAGTACCAACCGGGGCAGACAGATTCTAAACCAATTAAACGATAATCCTCTGCAGAATATGAAATTCAGTGCAGTTCCTATATACGGCCATAAGGGGTGCTATAGGGCGAGCCTCTAATTCCGGATAGAATTGTGGTCTGGAATGGCCTAATCGTGTCTGAGATGACTCTCAGCAGACCGTTACTGTTAAACAGAGTTTCCAGATGCACTTCTTGGATTTGTCATATCTCAGTTCTCTTGATGTTTGCTTGCGTGTATGAATCTATACACAGGACCACTTAACATTGAGCCTGTAGTTACTGCTGCATTGTTTAGAAATGTAAATGAGTTTTCTTTATATTTCGTTAGATGTGCACCGTATTGCAAGTCACTATACTTCATCATCCACGAACAGAAGGGCGTTGTGATCTCTTATTTCTGGTACTATAAGCACGTCATGTAATTGCTACTTTGTAGATTACCTTCGATAAGAAATATTGAACGATGTAATGTTTGCGTATTTTCACAAAAATCTGCTATTTTTGTAACGGAAACGGAATGTAGGCCCTAAACATTATGCTTTAAATCAAAACTGTCATTATTTTGCACATACACACACAGGTTTCTGTTTTCATCTTGTCTGGTGCTCCTTTCCCTGGAAGTAAGAAAGGAGGAAATCTTCGCTAATCTGGGTAGAATTTTTGTTCTGTAATGACCTGCTATAGGCCTCATTAGCTTTGTATTAAATAGCTATGTGTTGCTTGCAGTCGTTCTCGCCGCTGGTGGCTGCGGTGGACATGGCGACGAACCAGCAGCCCCTGGAGTTCCTACTGGACCGGGAGCTTGCATTCCGGGATTATTCCCGCCTGCAACCCTTCCAGGTGAGTACTCTGTTAAATGTGTTAGATGGCACAAGGATATATATTTTTGTGTTTGTATAGAGGAAACAAGAAACATTTTTGGTTATAAGTGAGCCCTGAAGATGGAAACAGCACGTTTCACCGAAAGGGTGGTTTCCGCCCACAAAATTACGCGGTATCAGCTCGAAAGAGGACAGTTTCTAATATTATGTAAGTAGTTTCAGTAATGGGTTATTATGATCAGGGTAATAAATTTTCTGGTTTGATAAGACAGGGAATATTTTACGGCATAAATGTCTGCTTTCCAAGAAAAAAGTATCATGGGATTGCTTAGTAGGACAGTAAGTCGATATAGTTAGTATTATTTGCATTGGATAGAATTTCTGACATAAGATTTTCATATGAAATTAGATAAAGTATAGTCGCGTCTTTTTTATTTATTACAGGCTTCATATTGGATTCCAGCTAACGATTATTATTATAATTAGAATTATTAGATGGGGTGGGTTTCCCCATGCACTTAGACCAGTTATTGGTCCATTGTGCGTCCCCCTTTAATTTCTACTGTCGCCATACCCTACCGGTACTGGTGCGTGCTATCAGCCCCGTTCAGCCAACGAGGTCGGCCGTCGGTACCTGATATTTCCACCATCTACCAGAGGCATTGGAAATTACTTGGGTGGGAAATTGTTGCCTAATTTTGCTCAGAGGTCTCGTAGAGGCATGAGGATCTTTTACGTGCCGTAAATCTACGACACGGGACCCACGGCATAAAGTCCCTCCCGGAGGACTTGTTCTCTGAATTTTTCCGCCCTTAAAAATTCCACGACCTCCGCCGGGTTTGAACCCGCGTACCTTGAGTCATGAGGTGGGAACGTTACCCCTAGACTTTCAGCTAACGATAATCCTAGACCTAGATATTCTTTTTATTATTCCTAATAATTCTGGAGTATCACAAAATAAAGTATTGTAATAGTTCTTAAGTTATCGTCTCCATTCTCACTACGGCCATGGCCTTGTGCCGCCATGCAATTCCATGGAGCAGAATCCCTCCTGAGAAGCTAATAGTTACTCATCAAATCAAGAAGTTCTTTGCCTATGTGGACCCCGAAGTCTCATTACCTTGACTATAAAAGCCCGACATTGGTCACTGTCCAGAGCCTGGTTAATGTAGTCCGCATCCTCACGCTTGATGTTATTCTGCCATATACTCCTAGATCTATGTAGTTAGCTCTTCGCCATCGACTCGGATCTTTTGGGGGGGAGGGATATTTCACATCTCATGCACGCTACATTCCTCTCCTTTGACTTGATCGCCCCTGTGATATTTGGTGAGGAGTAAAACTAGGGAATCTACTGATCTTATACCACCTTCATCCAGAAACAATGCAGAATTAAACACACGAGAGACGCCTCCTTAGCTTTCGTTATCAGTTAAAACAGACTTTAGTAAAAAGGTAGTGTCGTGTTACAGAAATTAACATGATATGAATTGATTATAGGCACTTGACTAATGTTACGTTTGTAGACGTTTTGAAGAGCATTATCTTCTATGATGTAATATCGTGTAGTCTCGTATAGGTTCATCACCATTTCGGAGGAGCGTAAGTTATCCCTTACCGAACTACGTGGCGTTACATACCAGAAGATAATACTGTGAGAACCTCAGATTCAGCGTAGTACGGATTGCTTTGTTCGTTTTTCTCTTCGACCGGTTTAGTTAACTGTATGAAAAAGTTATATTTTGTATATGCTTTTAGACATTCATTAGGATCCCTTTAATGGAAAATCGGACGATCGCAAGGCATCTAGCATTATAGGACGACAAACACGCCGGAATACATTCATAGCCGGACAAGGTTTCGAACCCGCGATTCTAGTCTTCGAATGCACAGAGTCCTTGTGTTTCCATAGACCGGTTGACTTCTGTGATCTGCTGTTTTATACAAGATAACACTTGTTAGGTCCAGTGACATCCGTAAAGGACTACTGATTTAAGAGGCGACAGTGGTTTGCCGCTCGAAATTGGAATCACGTGTTCGGATCCCCTTCAGGTCTAGGTTTTTCTATGTCTGTAGTTTTTGTACCAACCCTCCCCCCTTCCAAGGAGTCAGACCAAATGCCTGAAGCAGTGGCGGCGAACCTTTTCGCTACCTGGTGCCAAATTTACATCAAAAATTACCTGCCATGAAAGAGTGGTTCCAACTCTCCTCACTGCTTCAGTACTGCAGGTGTCTGTCTACTGCTGGACATTTTTAGACAGCTCTCCGATTCTTGACCGCCTCTGTGGTCTAGTGGTCAGAGTTCCTGGCTACAGATCCAGAGGTCCGGTTTTGATTTCCGGCGCTGTCAGATTTTCCAAGAAGTAGTGGGTCTAGAACGGGGTCCATTCAGCCTCGTGAAGATAAATGACGAGCTATTTCAAGGAAATAGCGGCTCCGGTCTAGAAAACCGAAATTAACGGCCGTGGGGATTCGTTGCGCTGACCACGCGACACCCTCTATCCGCTAAAGCTGGCACTAAGTGCACCGACAAGCATCGGTCGCTCAGTCGGTATAGTTCGCTTCGTGACTCAAGCCACGGAGTTTTGTTTTGTTTTGTTTTTTGTTCTCTGATTCTTATCTTGCATGTTGTTTCGACACATGCACAATCTGCATTAGTTCCATTTGGGAGACGACTTCTTAAATTTGACTTGCTGTATTTCACGTTTCGGAATAATGAACGAGGTAGTACAACTTTGTATTGCAATCCAGAAAATCGTGGTCTTCATAAACACGAATGTGAGAACTTCAAATCCTACGTAATCGTATTACCTGGTATTCGGGTTGCATATGTGAAATAAAGGAGTTGGTATGGAGACGAGCTACGAACTGGGCAGCCGGAGTTCGATTCCCGGCAGTGGTAAGGGATTTTTCTGTACTCCACAGCGTCCAGACCATCTCTGGTATCCACCCAGCCTCCTATCCAGTGGGTTCCGGGGCTTATTGCACGGGAGTAAGGCGGCCGGGGAGTGAAGCTGACCATTCATCTCCATCTTGTGCCGAGGTCAAGAATGGTGAGGCTGTGTCTCGACTCCCCCTTGCGTATTCATGGTATGGTGCTTAATTCATTATGCACAGGGACAACTTTACCTTACCTTACGTAAAGTAACAGCAAAATATATCTTACGAGAAAATAGTAATGGCAGGGTGAAATAGTGAATTATCAAGCTGATTCAGATGTTATTATGGACTAAATATACTATAATCACGAGTTCCAGCCGATATTTCAGTTGGCAACGGTGCCAGTATTTCGAAGTCATGATTTTAAAGTATTGTTTTTTAGGATTAATTTAGAAATTGAGAAGGCAGACAACGTAATCCATGAAAGCTGGTGAAGAAGAAGAGGCTAAAATCGAATGCTCAAATGAATGGCTGAAGAAATGAAAGAGCGTCAGAAAACCTGTCCAGCCCAGCTGTGTTCACAGTATATCTCGAACACAGCGGGATATTTCTAAGCCTGTCATCACAAGATCTGTAAAACGTGATCTAAGATACCTCGAGTTTCAGACGTTGCCAGTTTTAATAGAAAGAAATCAGGCAAATATAAATTTGTCAGGCGCAATTCTAAATTATTTGCTGGTCTTTAAAAAAGTGTAATTGAACGCTACATACTGTCTCCATAACCCAGTGGTTCTTAAATCACATAATGAGTGTGTATGTGATGTTATTTTGAGACAGCCACCGTTGCTTGCCTTTCGAATTTTACTCCATTTTCAGAGTTCAGATACCTAAATGCGTTTCAAAAAGGAAGTGATTCATGAAACAGGAAAGAAATGCGCGCTTATTCTGCGCTTTCAGGTAAGGTTTCTGAATACTACCATAACCCTATAGAGAAAGTATTGTAGCTATATATATATATGACTCTCCAATCATCATCGTCATCAGAGATCACCCGTGTGAAGGCGGGGTCGAATACCTTCACCGTGACCCTGCGAGTCGTAGGAGGCGACGAAAAGGGAAGTCACAAATCTGGGATAGTAAAATATGGTCGCGAGTACCAAGGGACTCGGACCCGAGAAAGACTGCGCTGGCAAGAACCAGCAGCATATACAAAAGACAGACCTGTCCTCTCGTGAGAGAGGGCGCCCCACAGAAAAAAGTCCGTAACTGTCAAACAGTAATAAATATCTGGTGGAACCAAGACTTACTGACCGACTGACCGTCAGTCGCAATGTGACTTTGACTTTGACATCGTCATCATCACCACTGCGGGTTACGTCCTTCACCATAATGACAGCCTCTCGAAATTTGTATTTATTATTTTGTTTTATGATAAGCAATAACAAACGCGAATCGGCACACAGAGATGCCATGGAGAAAGGTCATAAAAGTATCTACATATTTTATATGATTCATTGACTTGTATCAGAAATTATGAACACGGTGACGAAGCAAAATGACTGTACAGCCCTTTTTTTGGGCCTTGGCCGCTTTTCAGTTTCTGAATCCTATACACTGGCGGTAGTACTCCTTGGACGGGCGATCAGACTGTCGCAAGGCCTCTACCTCTACACAGAACAACACAAACACAGAATAAACGCACAAAATACGGACATCCAAGCCTTGAATGGGATTCGAACCCACG